TCCCGGCATCGATGAGGATTTTCTATGGCCTCTTTGGGTGTGGCCACACCATGTACATCTCGTGTGACACACTCCCTGTTACCAAGGTACGTGTAACCCTGTTTCATTTCCAGTCCCGCCTTGATAAATGATCCCTTGATTACGTGTCGAAATTAAGTAGCGTAGTACACGAATTGCGGCGTTCGAATGTGGCTGCCCGGGATTCTCGAGAAATCGAGACAATTGTGTAACGATATATGCGATGTCTGGGCGAGTGCAAGTTGTAATGTATAGTAGACATCCAATCAGTGAGTATGGTCTTGACCGCATCTCCGAACGCTCAGTTTTTGTACTTGGAAATTGTGACGTTAATAGTTTGAGACCGGACTTAAACGGATTATCAACGTCCTTGGCGTTTTTCTGTCCAGATTGCTCAGCCACGTCGCTAATGTACCGTGTCTGCTTGATCATTAGTGTCGAGCTGACCTGTCGTGGTCGATCTCTATGCCCAAGACGTACTTCGCCATACCGAGATCTTTTATCTTGAAGACGCTTTTTAACATCCCCCTGACCTCTAGAATCTCACTGCTTGTCTTGGCTGCCAACGATCATATCATCAAAATATAGACATACGTACACAAAAACCTTCTTTCCCTTTCTTCACGTAGTCGCATTGATCCGCTCCACAACTTAAGAAATCAGTCTTTTTTAAGGCGTGGTCTATCGTCTTGTTCCAAGCACTTGCAGCTTGCTTGAGGCCATATATCGCTTTGTCCAGCTGACATGCAAATCCTTCAGCTCCCTTAAAAACAATCAGATTCTCCATGTAGACACGATCTGACAGCCAACTGTTGAGAAAGGCCGTGACGACGTCCAGCTGTTCCATTGTGTGTCCTAATACCGCACACACTGCAAGGACAATTCAAATTGAGTTCATTTTAGCCACTGGAGAGTAAGTCTCGATAAAATCCACGCCGAATCTGCTTAAATTCTTAGCCACCAATCGAGCTTTGTAGCGCGCAACACATCCCTTCTGGTCACGCTTCTTAGCAAAGACCTAGCGGCATCCAATCGTACGTCCAACTGATTCTCGTGGAGCGAGTGTTCATGTTTTTCTCTGGTCATGCGATTGTAATTCGGCATCCATCGCTTGTCGCCAATGGCCTGCTTCGTCACTAAACATTGCCTGCGCATACGTGGTAGGCAAGTCCGATTCTTCACCAACATTCACAGCGTAAGCGAGAAGAGCTTTAGCTATAAGGCCGTATTCATCAATTCTTGCACGCTTTGGAATGGGTGGTCCTTCGTTTCCTTCCAAACTTTCTGCGGCATCTGATCCGTTCTCCAGTAACAGCATTGGCTCGCGTGTACGCCTTGAGCGTTCCACTTGCGGTTGAAAAACCAATCGATATTCCTGTGCATCCAATGTAAAAGTTCTGTACTCTGTCAGTTCAGAGTGTACTGAAGCCGGAAATCGAAGTATATCGACCGTTGATTCATTTATGTCGGACTCCTCATCAATCATTGGATCATCTGGAGTTTCTTCTTCTTCTTTATACTCTATAGGCTCAACTTGATCTTGTTTGTGTTTTGTCGGCCCGATCACTGCGCTTTCGTCGTTTTTCTTGATCGTGTGCATCAATTTTACTTGTTTGGGCGGGTACGTCTTATAAATGCCGCGCACTTTACGCTCGTCCAGCTTCAACGACCGTGATGATGAAATATTGTCTTTCTCAAAATCGTAAACTCGGTATCCCTTGGTGTATTCGGCATAACCAAGAAACATGCGCTTTAATCTTTTGGCTTCGAGCTTCGTCCTCTTCACTTGATCGACGTGAGCATACCCATGAGACCCAAACACCCAAACGTGACCCATCCGAGGCTTCATCTTAAATCCCAGCTCATATGGGGTATTGTTTGGGTGCACTGTATTGGGAGAGCGGTTGGTCAGGTACACCGCAGTGCTTACTGCCTCTGCCGGTCGGAACACACTTGAAGTGTAGCATACTCGGTGCCTTTTCGATAATTGTGCGGTTCATTCGTTTTGCAATTCCGCTTTGCTGGGGGCTATATCTTATTATACGCTGATCTATGATGCCGTTTCGCTGACATAACTCCGGAACTGTCTTGTTGACAAACTCCGTTTCGTTGCCCGAACGCAGGCATTTGATACGGGTTCCTCATCGATTTTCGTGCAATGCTTTGAACATCTTGATCTTGTCGGCAACCTCACTCCTCTTCATCAGAACGTAATCCACCACATATCTTGAATAATCATCCACAAAAGTAAAAAAGTACTTAGCACCTCCTTTCCAAAGTGCCTTCATGGGCCCCATCACGTTCGTATGACTAATTCCAATACATGTGACGTCTTTGTCATGGAGCATCTAGGAAAGGCTTCAATCGCTTGCTTGCCCTTCATGCATCCACCGCACAAGGTCTTGATCCCTTTGTTTTGGCGCAGGCATACCTGCGGTGGATCGCAAAGTCTTCACAAAAACATCATGGCTTGAGGAGCTGTGGGACGATAGGAAGTTATGCGTCGAAGGAGCTGGAACAGTGAAGTTTATCGGCTTAGATGGAAGACGCATATCGATGATGGAAGTGCTGCTTATCCCTGGATTTGACAGACGTTTACGGTGGATGGGAAAGCTTGCCGAACGTGGACTAAGCGTGGTGTTCCAGCATGCTTCGTGCACCATTTGGGACAAGAACTATGCTTAGGCAACTGGGACAAGAAATGGAAAAGCAACACACTGGAGTCAGCAAGAAGTGGTACGATCGGTGCAATGCTCGGAAGGTGGTAGTCAGTGGTGTCCCATACGGTCTGCAATCGTCACCTTGGCGTCGGCTTTAGCCGCATGAAGTCGATCAAGTCACTTTGGTAAGGGATCAAGTCTGACGTCGCACCACTGTCAATCAGCCAGCTTGCTGATTGTTCCTCCCCCACAGCAAATCCTGCATCATTACCGCTGAAACGGTTTCTGGAACTATTCTCAGCTGGGCAGCCCGTCGTATGAGACGAGCTGCCCAAATTAAAGTACATGCCCTGAATAGTGCCGTCCTTGCGTGGCGAGTAATTCTTGCGACTACTTCCTCGTCTGCCCTTGATCCGTCCGTCATTGCCTGTGGCGCTAAACGCTTTCTTTCTTTTTTCTTTTGTAGCCTGTCTGGCGCTTTCAACAGCTTCTCCTTTACTTCAAACAGAGTGACGTCCTTGGCGTTCTCCATGATAGAAGAAATCATCCATTAATCTGCCAAAAATGCTGCTCAGAAGTATCACTAGCTGCCTTGATTCATCCACCGGCTCTCCCGTCGTCTGGACTCCCACTACCAGCTTGTCAAACACGTCCAGATGTTCCACCATGCGAGTGCCACTCTCGGTGTACAAGCCTCTACGATAAACGCGTCGTCGAAGGTGGTGATATCGGCATCCCTTTATAAAACCGCATATTTACCTTAAACTTATTACGGAGACGGGTCATCGTGACACGGTTGTGCAGAGTGGAGCGATTGTAGAAATCGCGAAGCGTTCCCATGCCTCCAAGGCACGAGATGCGGACCAAATTTTGGTCTGGTGCTGAATATCGACGTCCTAGGCAGTTATACCCAATGCCTTGGCGTCATTCACGAGTCACGTCTCTGTTAATTCGCCCTCATCCTTTGCGCCCATAACGTGCCCCAGAAGCCCTTTTCATACGAGGACCATCCTCATGTTGAACTTCCAATGGTAGTAGGAACAAATCACCTACGAGGTCTTCGGTGCGATTAGTAGTCATGGCGGTGAGTGTTCTGCGGAGCGAAGCTTTAATTGCGGCTGTTAATCTGTTGAGAAGATGGCAAAACCCCAAGTATATATATAGGTCATTGGTCCGCTAACTTTGTGCTACATCTAAGGCTGTCTTTCTAGATCCTTCTAAAAGCTTCTAGATGTAATCTCATTTTTTCCAGATCAATAAAAGACTACCATTATGTCCGTAGCCTTGAGAGTAATTGTTAGCATGACCGTAATCCTTGTGACGCCATCCACATGCCGTTCAGCGGTGTAAACTTATCAGAATTATTTTGCTCAGACAATCCACAGCAACCACAATGCTGGTATGTTCAGATGCGATTTCTAGAAGTCAAAACTAAGCGTCATATATATAAAACAACAGTCTTTAAGGCTGGCAAAAGATGCCGCCGAATGCGACAAGTCTTAAACGTATCACACCTGCGTACATGTCTTCTTACCCACTTGTACATATCGAACCATCAGTAAAAGGCATTTACCGAGCTGTTTGTATTTTTATATTTTCTCTTACTAGATGGTCACACAACGGATTATCATGTATATCGCACAATTCTCTGTACTTGAGGTCCTCATCGTTAGATCACTAATCGTTCAGTGTCATGTGGATCAGTGCTGTAATACAGTCACGTTAAAAATAGGATTATTGGTTCAGATATGCAACAGAGCGCTTTGATAAGGAGGCATCTGATTTCTCTAACGCCTTGCACCATATTGTGTCTGATTCATTCGCTGTATACAGTCTTAGCATTGGCGACATCATAATTGGTGCAATCGACGATATAAAGCCGGTTGACGCAAAAAACTTCTCTCCTACGTTAAGTTGGCCCGGCTTGTACCTAAATCAAAGGTGTACTCAGCAAACGAGGATTTACCATCTTGTCATTCTCTACGATTAATAAGCTGACGGCGTCGCTGTTTGTAACGATGCATGATCTATGTAGATTAACAACGGCATAGAACAAAGCAGGTCCACCTTGAAATTAACGAGCGTCGACTTCTTCACAGGTATCTCCTCATCATAAGCAAGGTAGTTCTTCTCATTAGCTTTATGCTGGCGAGACTCGAACGCGATCACGTCTTCATGTCCATTGGCATCAGTATGGGACAAAGTGTAGCCTATTACAAAGGCTAAGGCTGCACAAATGACGTTAAATGGTAAATCTCAATTCGAAAAACAATAATACGAGGCACACAAAGGCATTACTTTAACATCTGTTAAGATTGTCACTCGCGTCGCACCAAAGCACTATAATAAATACATTGTAAGAATGTCAATTGGGGTTGAGCCATGTCGGCATAACTAGCGCTGTACTTGTGACAGTAGTCAGCCGGGCCAACGACTCTATGTCGCCCTTTTAAACAGAGGCACTAATGACAAAGGGTCTACACAAGGAATCCCTCAGGCCGTGCTTTCTGGTGGGGCTACCAAGGAAGGTTTCGTCGGCAGCAATGACTCACTTATATGTTTTGAATAATATTTGATCTAAGCACATACAATCTTGGTTTCACTACCGACTGTTCATGCTCTGAACGACTATGCACAACTATATCGTCATGAGCTTGATTGATATAAGAAGGGTCACCGAGTGTGATGTACTACCTTCTTTTAGAACACTTACTTCATGCTTTGCACGAGAATGCGTCATAGCGTCACACAGTTTTTCGGTAAGAGTTATGGCCGTGTGATGCAATATCTGGCTTCGGGAACGATTTCGCTTCATAACGCTATTCTCTATCGGAAAAAAAGCATGGTGGCTCCCTCGTCATTACGTCGCGACATAAAGAAAGACTGATCAATCGGTAGATTTGTTGACGATAGCTCTCCCAATCCTAGTACCCAGTACTCTGCGAGTTTTCTCTATGATAGATTCATCCACGTAGATGACGATCTCAGCTCTTCCAATTTTACCAAAAAATGGTTAGGTCACAGTGCCGTCTCTCAATTTCTTGTATACATCACCGAGGTGTAATACCTTTAAATCGTTAGAAATTTCTGTCGAAGGCAGTGATGGTACATAAAATTTCCTGGTTATTTGGGACGGACGGGCGCGGCGTTTCAATAATGATACGCTTTAAAAGCGAAATATACAATCTCCTTTTTTGTTTCATCCCGCGACCTTTCCAAGCTTTACTCGAGACACCTAGCAGCACCATTACAAACAATTTCAAACAATTTCATGTGTAGCACGGAAGTTAGCGCAGCTATGTGCTTGTGCCAAAAGCGTTTCTGCTTCCTAGAGGACGTGAAACAATGCTTCGCTAATGCTCCACCACGCGAATAGTGTATGGCACGTGGCTTCTCTGGCTTCCAGTTGAACTAAAGTTCTCTTCTAGCTCTCGGGGTCTAGACACGTCATGGTTAACATTGAAATGCATGACAAATGTAGCTTCAGGACGAGGCAACAATCCAGGCTGTAATTGTCGTTAAATTATTTCTTGAAGATTAAGCATTTAATTTAGCTCCATCACAACACGTACGATTAATGTGTCTTCATTTGGTATCATCAATGCCTTTGCATACTTTCCGCTGTTTGTAACAGTTGTTTGCCTTCGTAATTGGACGACGGTCTGAGTCGATCAGAACTTTCCGCGGCTTCACAAATCCCAGGACGTTGATACTGACAAGCATGAATTCAGGGATGTGTGCTCCGCAGAAAAATCACTTTTATTTGAGTTAATTTTCGTTCAATACGGCCTTCGTGAGGTACAATAAGATCCAGCTCTATCCTATTAGACTCTACTGTGCGGATACCCTAGCTCTTTCGCTTAGAGGAAGCTAAGCATAGGTAACCGACCTTACATTCTTTACAAGAACCAGTACGAAAGTAGCGGATCGCAATCTGCTACCTCCAAGAGTATTTCAATCTTAACCACAGCAACGAAGCTTTTCTGTTCAAAGCAGAAACTGAATTTTGTTGTTTTATTTGCGACAGAGCCGCCTATATCTAATACCTTAGGTTTTTCTAATCAAATAGTAATATCAATTTTTATGC